ACCCCCTTTTTTCCTTATCAAAGATTATTCAGGTAAGTTATATATTTTTTCTGACTACCCCCTCCTTTTTTTTTTGAAAAAAAATTCTTCTGCCTTTAATAGGTGAGAAAAAAAAAAGTTACATTCTACTGTTTATTCTGTGCCCCCCCTTTTTTTGAAAAAAAGTTCCTCTGCCTGTAATAGCTGATGAAAAAATGTTATGTTCCACTGTTTATCCTGTGACATTAATGAAGCCAAAAAGATGACATTTCGATCAGGCTTTCTGGAAAGCCAAACTTGTCTTTCATAAGAATATCCTATTCGTTTAAACCTCCGATGCTGAAGAGTTTCAGCAATAGTCTGCTTCAAATACTTCGTTCTACTACTATTTCATATAGAAATGAACCATAGTACGAAGTATTTGAAGCAGACTGTTGCTGGAACTCTTCAGCATCGGAGGTTTAAACGAATAGGATATTCCTATGAAAGATAAATAACTTTATATTTTGTTGGATTTAAACCTTTTAAAGGTAAGAAACGAAAGTTTTATAGTGATAGAGACTTAAAAGGATGTCCAAAGGAAAAAGTTGAAGCGGGCAGCTAATTCATTTCAACCCGTATTGATTGAAACAAGCGGTCGAAGTCGGGGCAAGAAAACCCGAGTCACTTCGTGTGACACTGTACTGAGATTCGTAGGGACACCAGACCAAAATTTTTAGTCCCTACGAATCTCGCTGAGATTACAATACTGACAGTGATGGGTAAAAATTGTTTTCAAATTTATGAAAATTTGCCACTCAGTGTTCAAGTCAGAGAGGATATTGATAAAATTCTAGAAGTATTAGATGGTAACTTCATGCCAAACAAATATGATCTACGAATGGTATATCTTTAACACGACAGACCAGATGCCTAATGAATCGTTTGATGATTACTTGTGCCGACTACGAGAACTTGCTAAGACATGTTAGTTTGGCGACATTATGGACCAAATGATTCGTGATGGATAGTATTGGGAACTAAGGACCAAAGTGTTCGTGGAATTGCTCGGAGAATCCAAGCTCACCCTTAACAGTGCCATAGACATGTGTAGGACTATTGGGAGAACTATCTGTCAGCTTAAGAAACTACAAGGATAGAGTGACACTAATAATAATACAGCTCAAGTCAACTATGCAGCAAGAGGAAATAAGAAGCACATGAAAGAAATAAAGCAGCAGAAAAAAAATCTTCATCAAAGTCACCAAAATACCCATACAAAGGAGATATTAAATGTATTACAAATACTGTGGTGTAAAGCATGCAAGAGGAAGATACAAGTGTCCTGCTTATGGAAAGATTTGCAACAAGTGCAAAAAGAAAAATCATTTCTCTTCAGTGTGTCAAAGTGCTAACAAGACTGTTCTACAACTTGATGAAACTGATGACAGTAGTGATTGTGATTGTTACACAGTGAAGACAACACGTGGTAAACAGTGGTGTGCAAAAGTCAACATGGTGATCGACGATGCAACTCATCAAGATGTAATCTATCAACTGGACTCTGGATCAACATGTAACATTCTTGGATTTCGGCAATACTGCATTCTTACCCAAAATGGTTGTCTGCCATTGAACCAACCAGCAAGGCTCTACGACTCTATGGTGGAACGTCAAAGCTTGAGCCCTTAGGTACTGTTTTTGACATTACCTGCTCAGTACAAAACAATACAGAATGTCTGAACTTTATGTGGTAGATACAGATCAAACCGCACTGCTCTCGGCTGAAGCATGTGAAAGGTTAGGACTGTTAACTGTGAATATTGTGAACAGTGTTGATACATCAGCTAAGAATAGTTTTGAACCACTAACGCGCAGTCAGCTGTTGAACATATACCATGATGTATTCGAGGGCCTAGGATCTTTCCCAGGCAAGTACAAGATTGAAATTGATCCGTCTGTCAATCCAGTTCAGCATCAACCCAGAGAAGTTCATCAGGCCATGAAGCAGGAAATTCACACAAAGTTGAAGGATCTTGAGAAAGAGGTGGGATCAAGAAAGTTACGACCCCAAGAGGTAGTATGCTAACTGTGAAAAAAACCTGGTAAGCTACGCATATGCATTGATCCCAGAGACTTAAACAAAGTTATCAAGTGATCGCACTACATCATGCCTACCCTTGAGGACATATTACCAAATCTTGCCAATGCAAAAGTATTCTTTGTTTCTCGATGCAAAAGAAGGACTCTGGCACATCAAATTTGTTTGTTTGTTTATTGTTTAACGTCCCTCTCGAGAATTTTTCACTCATATGGAGACGCCACCACTTGTCGATGAAGAGCTGCAAATTTTGACCTATATTCGGCACTCAGGGCCATTGAGCAGTGAGGGATCTTTTTCGTGCCAGCACCTACTGCGACACGGGACCTCGGGTGGGATATGAACCCGCGATGTAAGGATCAACTCCGCGACTCTGGAGCAAACGCTCTAACCGCTGCGCCAAGCGGGCAACCATCAAATTAGATGAATCTAGCAGTCAAATATATTGGCAGTTTACTTACCACAGATGGCATCCGCCCTGATCCAGACAAAGTTAGCGCCATTACAAATATGAAAAGAATCGAAAATGTAAAAGCAGTGCAACGTTTTATTGGTCTAGCAACATACTTGCCACACCTATTAGAAACATGCGAACCTTTGCGACGTTTCACAGACAAAGGAGCCATTTGGTCTTGGCAGTCGCAGCAGGAAGAAGAATTTCGGAGTGTCAAACGTATCATAAGTCTTCAACCCTTAATCAAATACTATAATGTCCATCAGGCGGTCACAATTCAGTATGATGGAAGTGAAGTTTGCCTAGGAGCCACATTGCTGCAAAGTTGACAACCAATTGCCTATACCTCTCGTGCACTAACTAAAACTAAACAGTGTTATGCACAGATAGAAAAAGAGTGTCTTGCAATTGTTTTTGCATGTGAGAGATCTGACCATTACATATATGTTAAGGATTGCATTGCAGTACAGTCAGACCACAAGCCTCTTGAAACGATCTTCTGGAAACCTCTCTTGTCAGCTCCAAAACGACTCCAGCGAATGTTACTGCGCCTTCAGAAATACAACCTAGATGTTGTTTATACCAGAGGGAAAGAGTTGTTCATCGTAGAAATCTTATCTCGTGCGACTCCAGAGTATCATGGACAGCACACTTCTAGACTCGCTGAGGAAATAGCATACATTCAACAAGCAGAGTTGGTTAGAAGTCACAGACTCAAGACTGAATCAGTTTCAAGACTTGACAAACAAGGATGAGAATCTCCAGTCATTAAAGACGGTGCTTCTTTCAGGATGGTCTGATACTAAAGAAGATGCTCCTATTCCAATACGACTATATTGGAATGTCAGAGACTCTCTCACAATACAAGATGGTATTATTTACCACAGCAGCCACGTTGTCATTCCAAAAGTTCTTCAACCGGAAATGTTACGCCGCACTCATTCCAGCCATTTAGGAATTGAGGCTTGTCTTTACAAAGCTAGGGACTCACTGTATTGGCCTCTCGTGAATGAGGAGATAAAGGATTTTGTCAGCAAGTGAAGCAAATGCATCACATTTCAACGTAATCAACAGAAAGAACCATTAATGACACATGACGTCCCAGACCAGCCATGGTCAAAACTTTGAATTGACATCTTTACTCTAAAAACTGAAGATTACCTTGTCACAGTTGACTATTACTCAGATTTCTTTGAGCTCATCCTCCTTCCAGACACCACAGAAGCCACAGTAATTAACTGTTCGAAACAACATTTTGCACGTCATGGAACGCCAGATGTTGTAGTTACAGACAATGGTCCACAGTCCATTTTTATGTGATTGGGAGTTTCAGCATCTTACTTCTTCTGCCTATTATAGTTAGTCCAATGGGAAAACAGAGGCAACTGTGAAAATAGCTAATAACATTGTGCGCAAGTCTTAGAAAAATGGAGATGATTTGTTGGAGAGCATCCGTGATTGGAGGAACACCCCAACTGTTGACATGGCCAGCAGTCCATCACAGCGTCTTATGTCACGAAGAACTCGGCATTCATTACCATTGTCACAGGAAAGATGTAATAGATTAATTGAAGTTCAAGAGATAAAAGGCTAAGTTTTACTATGACAAAAGTGCTAAAGAACTTCCAGAACTTGAAATTGGCCAACCGATTACGATGAAACCTAATACAGACCCAGAAAAGAAATGGAGATCAACAACAAACAATATCGCCAAAACCTTCGAGCAACAAATGAATCTTATTTTGTCAATTTGCAGTCGTTTCCAGAATACGATGATGCCTTTGATCTATGCACCGTCAGTCACAATTGAAAAATCCGAAGTGAAAGACCTTAAAGTTGCTAAAATTCCAACTCTGCGAAAGCCTTGTGAACCAAACACTGTTACCACAAATCCAATAAGCCGTCGAACAAGTTCACGCGTACCCAAAATTCCAAAGAAACAAAGGCCATGTTCTGTGAATAGTTTACTCAAAGTATAATTTCTGTTTTGCAGTTATTTTATTGATCTCTTGTAAATGCAAGAAATTTCATGTCAGAATGTATGTTGTACTTCAGTTTTTTATTTTTTTGATTCAGAAATAATCATGCTTTATGTTTAAAGAGTTGTTTACATAGCAGAAACATTTTCATTAATATTGTCTTAATTCAATTTTGTAAATTAATTTTAAATGTAATTGTCATTCATTATCAAAGGAAGAATGTAATTGTCATTCATTATCAAAGGAAGGGAAATATTAGGATATACATTGATTATTCTGACCCTTCTGTGTACTTGTGTATTACGTCATCGCTTTTGTGTTAATAAAATGTTGAAATGAAACAATTATGATTGAAAACTGTTACATGCATAATAAATTTCGAGAGAAAAGAATCAGTTCATGATCTTGTCTTTCAGACTAAAATTCATTTTATTATATGTGAATATTGAAAACACCACAATCGATTCTCAATTGCTTGAACTAATTTATTTTTAAACTAATTTTTTTCTTAAACAATATTTCCTGCAAATCCATAAGAATCTAGATATCGATACCCAAATACAGTCAGACCAAACGGAGAGCCTGTTATGGTAGTTATGTTCAGTACACCAGGAGGGACTTCCATGGTAAAGAAGGATCCCAGCATTCCTTCATTCATAACATTTCTGCCTTCAAAGAGAATCTTTTCTTGTTGTAATACTTGCCCATTCAATCGAAGATCAGCTTTGAATCTTAAGGCGATCAGAATCGTTATGTAATTGGTCGAGTATCCTTCAGGAATCGGGATTATATACTGGCTCTTATACTGACTTGTATCTGGAATCGTAACCATGTATGGAGAACCATTGTTCTTATTTCCTTTTACCAAACTTGTGACAAAGACGCGGGGACTTGCGAGAAAGACGTATGCTGTTTCATTCGCTCTTAAGGTAAATTCAAACGGTACTCTGGGAATTAGTTTCATTGAATGTACAGAGTAACCTACAATAATAGCCCCTCTTGTGGGCACTGACTCTTCGGTCATTATGCTCAAGCGCGTTACGTCACTTGTGAAATCAGCTGATACACAGTATGAGTTACCAAAGTGTGATATAGGAGTCATTTGTTCCATTAAATGACTACATCTTATTGATTCTGGAAACATGTTGCATCTGTTTCCAGAAAACACTGCGACAGGTTTCGAAGCCTCTACTAAGGTTCCCGTGAGATCGGCGCTATGCTCCAGTTGCAGAGTCTCCAAATCGTTCAAGGATATTTCGAAGGTGTCTGAATCGCTGTAGTTTTTTCCGTTTATGGTAAGAGGCCTTGCATTATTGTCCAGTTTAAAGTTTATCTTAACTAATGTTTCGTCCTCTAATGCAACTATACCAAATACACTGGCGTAGATTGGGTGCATTTCATCACGAGGTTCAGTAGACATAACTAAATACCGAGTGTCGAGTTTTTCTACCGGGAAAATAAGAGAACCGTCATTGGATTGTAAATAGTTATTGTCGAAGAGAACCACAGTAATAGGCTGTGTTGAGCGAATCTTTACGGCTTTTGCTTCCTTTTGGAAGGACATACTTTGCATTTCAGGAGGCAGAGTAACTTTCAGTTGAGTGGTAAAGAAAAAGGTTCGGTCAATGGCGGACTTCAGTGACGGCTCCATATTGTTTGAAGTTGAGATTTCTACGGTTGCTGAGGTATTCGTTGTCATGTAAATCAGTGAAGATTCATTGGATGCATAATAGTGATTCAACATGATCATCAATGCGTACTCGTGATTAAAATCACCTTCAAAACCTATAAAAAGAGGAACATTTTCCCATCAAAGTAATGAATACTCAAAATAATATAAATTATAATGAAAGTTGAAGAAAAACATGAATACAAGAGGAGAAAGGTCTAGATACTTTGTAGAGTAGAAGAAGGAGATGTCGAAGGTAAGTATATTTGGTGTAAGCCAATTACAAAATTTGTAAGTTTTTTGAAAAATTTATTAAACTATCGTGATTGTATAGATTTTAAATGCTAGTTTCTGAAATCTCATCAGAATTGACCAATACACTGGTTGTAGCAAAAGTTTTAAAGATCCGTCTCAAATATTTAAAAAGAGCATAGAACTAAAACTTCAAAAGTAATAATTAAGGTGAGGTCCAAAAAAATTAGAGTCCAAAATGATAATCCAAAGAGTATTCCAAAGAGAGTCAATAGATGCCTAATGAATGGTCGAAAGAAAGAAGAATAGAAATAATAATTACATGTATGTTATGAATATAGTCCAAGTTTAAAATGTTCAGAGAAAATGTCCATTCTAAACCCTATAGGTTTACATTTGATATAAAAATATACATATATCAAATCGTACTGATGTTTTTACAGAAAATAATTTTTCTCTCCTGTTTTTTTTTCCATTTTTACCTCACCTGAGCCGTAAGCTCCAATTTGGAGCCGTACTCTAAATTCATTTTTGTCCATATCATAACCCCCTGGGGTAGGATGGGGCCACCACAGGGGGTCGAAGTTTTACATAGAAATATAAAGGAAATGTCTTTAAAAATATTCTTCTCGAGAACAGCAAAGTTATGATTAGTCATATTATCCATGTAATAGAAGTATCCTCAGTTAGTGTAGATTAAAGTTTGTTCAAATCATGTCCCCTTGGGGTATTGCAGTTCCACAATACGGGGTCAAAGTTTACCATAGGAATATATAGGAAATACTTTAAAAAATCTTCTTTTCAAGAACAGCTAAGCCGTTATTAGTCATATTAAAACAGAAGTGTATCCTCTGGTAGTGTAGATTCAAGTTTGTTCCAATCATGACTCCCGGGGGTAGGGCAGGGCCACAACAGGAGGCCAGAGTTTACCATTAGAATATATAGGAAATATTTTTAAAAATCTTCTTCTCAAGAACAGTTAAGCCATTAGTAGTCATATTAATACAGAAGTGTCCTCAGGTAGTGTAGATTCAAGCTTGTTCAAAACATGACCCCTGGGGGTAGGGGGGGGGGGCAACAGCAGTAGATCAAAGTTTTACATAGGAATATATAGGTGTAATGGTTAAGGGCTATGTGAGTAAAACGCATTGAAGACTTCAAATAGTGGAATGACCTGACAACCCTTGAAATGGACTAGCCAAACCAAAGGGTATATAAGGCAAAGCTTTGGGAAAGTCAGGCATTCAGGAGCTACCTGAAGAAGTTGGATGTTGAATCAGCAATAAAGAAGATAAGGTATTCCATCCATAATAGCAAAGATTTAGTGAGCTTGAATACATAACAGATGTGTAGGTGTTGAATTCTCAGTAGATTTAGACATATTTCCCATTTAATATTATTTGCATTTAAGGATGTGATGTGTCATAAGATATGACCTTTAATTTTGGTAAGAGTTATCTAGATATGACCTTGAATTTTGGTAAGAGTTATCTCCCTCTGTTTTTAATTGATAAAAAAAAATCAATTTTTAAAAACTTATCTGGTAAAAAAAAAATCATTTTCAGTTGTTATTCTATTTCTAATGTGTTTTAATGTATCTTTCCTCCACAGTATTTATTGATATTCTTATTATTTGAATTTTTATTTTTAAAAAAAATCGCTCGTCCCCATAACTTCAATGCAATCTTTGTTAATTAATTACTGCTTAGTTATTTACATTTTTGAAACTTTCTCTTGGTAAATCCTTTTTCTGCTGTACAATGCTTTAAATTAATATCAGAGTATTATGTATGTTATGGACATTTAAGGATAGAGGATGGAAAACCTTAAGGTAAGAGCAAAATAAAGTATAAAAATTATAAACACCACTGGGAAGTATCCTAGGGATTTGTTGTTAAGTTCTGGGTGTAGTAAATCTGAAGAAGATTGAGACACCTGGTTCTTATCTAACAATGGGAACTTAGGGGAGAAACATGGTGCAAGTAATACCTTACCCACACCCAATCTCTAGACAAGAGAAAATTTTAAGTACTGTGTGAAATACCCTCAGACAGAGCTGCCTTAATAATCATTCCAATAATTAATTCAGACAGAGTAAAAAGAAAATTTATATATCCCTAGTAAGAATCTGATCATACACGTTACATAGGAAATATCTTTAAAATCTTCTTCTCAAGAACAACTAAGCCATTATTAGTCATATTTATACAGAAGCAACCTTAGGTATAGTAGAATCAAGTTTGTTCAAATTATGACCCCCAGAGGTTGGGGGGGGGGGGTACAACATAATATTTACATAAGGATATATAGGAATCATCTTGAAAAAATCTTCTGCTTTAGAACAGAAAAGCCATGATTAATCATATTATTATAGAAGCATCATCTGGTAGTATAGATTCAAATTTTGTTCAGGGTGGGTAGGGTGGGGCAACATTGAATGATTAGAGTTTAACATAGGAATACATGGGGGAAAATCTTTAAAATTCTGAAACAGCAAAGCCATGTTTAGTAATATTGATATGGAAGCATGCTGAGGTAGTGTAAATTTAAGTTTGCGCCCCCCTTTCTCATTGTTCAATACCGAACTGATTTCTGCTTCTTCTTTCTGCTTCTTTCTAGCCAATGTTCTAAGGTGAGCGATGTGGTCCATGGGCATCTTGTTTAATTAAAGATATATTTTCTTTCTTTTTTGTGTAAAGTGCATGTTTTATTTCATCTCGACTAAAAGAGGAATAAAGATGAATACTTGATTATATCCACAAAACCATAATCTCATGAGTGAAATAATGAGGATGGAATGACGTAAATTCCGTTGCATTAGGGTAATATCTTGTTTTATAATTATCAAAAAATCTAAATAGGATCAAAATAAAACTCTACATAAAGATGCCAACAATACCTACGAGTACAATTCTCTCCTGTCCACCCTGTGTTACACGTGCACGTGTATGAGGTATCTGTATCTTGGCAAGTTCCTCCATTTTGACACGGCATAAACTGACATGCAGGAATTTTTACTGAAAAAGAATAGAAAAAACGATTCCTTTATCTTTATGATTGTTCCACAGAATCCTCTTTCCTTATAGGTATTTTCCTTGTTCTTCAATTCCCAATATTATTAAAAGAAGGTTTATATATATATAAAAAATGAATTTTAAAAGGAATAACTGTCTAATTTTTTGGCTTATGATGTGATCAAGCAAATGGCTTACGTGGTAATTTGTATAAACGCCGGATTATCATGCAAGCCAATTGTTTGATCATCATCATAAAGTAAAAAAAAATCTGACAGTTATTCCTCATATTAACATGCTCTTGATTCAGTAAATGCACGTGCTCCAAGCCCCGCCTATTTTTCTGTGTGTGTGTGTGTCTCTCTCTCTCCCGCCCCGCACGTGATTTTTACGCCACGCCTATCGATGAATCCTTAGCTTTATGTAGAAATCAAGTATTTTTATCATTTGTAGTTTTATATCAGACAAACAAATTTGAAAATGTAAATATATGATCATAATATTACAAAAAGTGAAGTCCCATAGTGGAGAATACGACGCACAAAATTTATACAACCTGGTATATTTGAATCCCATGATTGAAAAATGCGTCATATTAAACTCTAGAACTAAAATAATCAAAGTTATATTCTTTTCCGACCCTCTGTACAATACTCTTGTAAGGCAAAGCAAAGACACATCAGTTGTACAGTTATCATTTAGGTACTCATGTGCAACTTATTGAACACCTAAAAATCATGACCATTTCCCTGCCTTATTCATTTCTCATATATTCTTTGGGGAGAAAAAAAAAAAAAAAAAAAAAAAAAAACAAACAAACAAAAAAAAACAAACAAACAAAAAAAAAAAAAAACAAAAAAAAAAAAAAAAAACAACAAACAAACAAAAAAAAAAAAACAAACAAACAAACAAACAAAAAAAAAAAAAAAAAACGATATTGAATTTTGTTTGATATATGGTGACATGCTTCATAATTCTGACACATAATCAGAGAATTTTTGTGATTTTACATGCCCTGTAATTCGTTGTAACATTCATGTTGGCGGAAAACTGTACAATTTAATATAGGGTCCAGTCAGCTTTGTTTCTATTTTGGAAGGGTTTTATATGAATGACAGAGTAATACAGTTTAAATTCTAAGGTATTTTATGAGATTTGTTTTAAATTTGTGGGGAAGAACACGCCCCTCCCAAATTCCCTATCCTTAGTCAGGAAAGATGTTTCAAAAATTAACATGACATTGCAGATTTGATGGAGAACAAAACTAGGATACTGAAACGCAAGAGAAACGCAACAAGCAACATTCTACATACATTTGAATTTTTTATCTAATGATTTAAAAAAAAAATGAATACAGTAATGTAAAACTCAACTTAAAAACATCAGAGGTGTCATAAAAATATCAAATGATTATCTGTTAACTTTGGAAAGTAACACTTGACTGTTTAAACAACCCCATCCCGGCCATTCAATTACAGCGTACAAGACTGTCATGCACAACAATTGCAGCTTAATTTCTACGATGCAGTAGGTTCATCAATCTCCAGATCTGAGCGAAAGAAATATTCTTTGCCATTTTTAAATGCCTGTTTTTCAGATGATGAGGTCGGATTTTCTCTAGCCTAGCGCAGTGTAGCAACCCTTGGACTTCCGGTCCAAGGGCTGTCATTCATACTAATGATATGTAAGAGCCTGTTGAGGCGTCATATAGTGCATACTTGCATCTGCAACTCTCCAACATCTTTATTTTGAGATTTTCCAGCTAGAGCAATGGAAATGAGTACTTAAGTCATTTTCAGGAAATCTTGGCATCGTTTACGGAAAAGAGAGAAAAATTTATTTGTCGGAATATTGCTGCATTACTTATGATAAACAGACATAAACCCTTAAAACCCCATAATATTGCCCAATGTTTTGTTAAACATGCAATTTTTGATTTCTGTAAAGCGGACTCAAACTTAACTTCCGGTAATGGTATGAAAATCATTCAACTGTTAAATTACTGACATTTACAAAGTTGAAGCCATACGGAAATACCAACAATACTTACTAGTACAATTCTGTCCTGTCCACCCTGTGTTACACGTGCACGTGTATGAAATGTCCGTATCGGTGCACGTTCCTCCGTTCTGACAGGGCATAGACTGACACTCAGACTTTTTATCTATCATTAATAGGATAATTTGTATAAATATCTTTTAAAGTTTTAGCATGGGATAAGTGTAAACCTTAGATGAAAACATAAACATTTCTTTGAACATCCTTAAATAATAATTCGATAATTTTATTATAAAAATGCAGAGAGAATAAAAATAAATTACCAAATGATGCATGTATTTTGAGCACTTTACTAACAAAAAAAATATATGCAAAGAGATATGAGTTTTGGAAATACATGTACTAGTAATTTTTAATCTAAAATTACAAAAACTTGAATGATAAAAACTCTATGCTATTTATAGCCTCAGTTTACTTGGTTGCCCTTATTATGCTGGTATTTTAAGCATACTAATTTGGTTTTATAGCATCCCAATTCTGTCAACCAAAACCTTTAGGAAACGTCATCTTTAATCAACCTGTACTGATGATGAAATTCCAAGGTCTAATACTAACAGTAGAAAATTTGATTCAACAGAACATTAATAGGCACATGTGAGAACGGAACGTGTGACTCTATCAATAATTTTAAGCTTTCATGAAGTACAAAATGATTTTTTGAAAGTATGCATAGTAAAATATATAGTCAGTATTATACTTTTATTAAAATATCTCTCAGATGCATATATGTTGCTCACTTGTCTGTTAAAAAAATATTAGTTGGACGACCATACAGATAATTTCCGACCAGTGATGTACAGAGCTCTCCATTTTTAACTATGCGCTGATCTAGAGTGTTTTTTTTTGGTGGGGGGGGGGAGGGTCCGGACCACTCCTGGAATTTGATGAACCCCCTAATTTGGTAGGAAGCGAAGGAAAACTGCTTTACCTCCACACACAAAATAGGTTTGTTACGTTTGAGGACGGAATTTATATTTTTTTTGTTTCATTATTTATTTTATTTATTTATTTATTTATTTTTTTGCTTGTCAACAAATTTCTTGGTTGGAATTTTTTTAATGGTATGCCCCCTTTCTGAATCCGCGCCTGTGGAGGATATCTTTTGAGTAAGATCCCAATTACTATTCCTTAAGTAGATTTACATTTAACATTTAGAGACTTAAACAATGAAACTTCAGATGAATGTATTTGGATATGTCGCATAATCTCCAAAACACCTTAAGCTGTTGATTTTTATTTGTATAGGACTAGAAAAAAAAAAATAGTTCGCTACTAGACCTAATGACTTAGACTTCTTACGAATTAGAATATTTATTTTGTACGTATAAAATGTGGGACCATTACAGGTGTTCTCTAATTCTCTACCCCCAAATGAAACCGATTCCTTTTAAGCTTTGTTAAATGACTCAAAAAAATTCTTACAAATTTTTGCGTATCAGATGTGGAAAATTACACATTCGTAATCATAGGAATATTAGCAAATCATCATTTATTCCATGTGCCTGAGCATACTTTCATCCTTTATGAATGATTTTTTTGTAGCACACACGCAGTTTTGTTTTGAAATATTTTCAATGATTACCGAAAAGTATTCTAAAACTCAAAACACTTATATCAAAACACCATGATAGAGTATGGACACACATTATATACATGCAATTTCATTAGTAAAATGGTCATGATTGAAAACTTACATGCCCAACAATTATCGAGAGAAAAGATTCGGTTCATGTTCTAGAATTCATTACGTTTGAAAATAAATAATGAAAAGACATTAATGAATTTTCAGTTGCTTGAACTACTTTATTCTTAAACAAAATTTCCCGCAAATCCATAGGAATCTAGATACCGGTAACCAAAGACAAGCAAACCAAACGGAGAGCCGATGTTGTAGCTAGGTTCAATACACCAGGCGAAACTTCAACCGTAAGAATCGATCTGAAACGCCCATCATTCAGAATATTTGCCTTCTCAAAGAGAATCTTTGTCTGTTCTATAGCTTATCCATTCAGTCGAAGATCAGATTTGAAACTTTAGTTTGGTAGTATTTTAATCAGTTATAAATGTAAATTAAAAAGGTCTCATTTTTAAATAAACTATTGGGATAAAAACATGGGTTGTTTTTTGATCCAATATACAATAAAGGCCTACGTGATTAATTGGGTTTTGAACACGTAACCAAGCCCTATTTAATCCTAATATTTGCTTAAAAATGTCTGGCTCTAGCGTATAAAATGTGTTGCTACGTCACAATGACTTGCCCCAAAAATGTTTTAATCCGCCTCATTTTGTACAATTGTACAATCCTCTGTAGCAGATTCTTTGATCTTGAATGATAATAAAAAAAAAATGTAGAATGCACAATCCATACCTAACTTTTGACGACAATCTGTTCCTGTCCAACGAGGTGGACATCTACAGTAGCGTGAAGAGTCCGGTTTGATACACAGCTTTCCTTTGTAACAGATTCTCCGATTCCGAATGCAAAAATCACCTCCTTTACCTGTTGTATATTACAATTGTGTTAATTATGACGTCACGGTGCTTATAGATGTCGTACAGATTTAAAAATAATGGGTAAATAATAGGTTTAATCATTACATATACAATCTCTTCCATGTAAACTGACTTTTGACCTTCTAGTTTACCTCTGCATATTTGCTCTTGCAAATGTTTTTCCTTAAATAACATCGTTTGGTGCAATGCGTATTTAACCTTGTATAAAGATAAGTTCGTCACATGACCACAAATTCATTGTTTTGTCATAAACGATCAACATAATTTCAAAATAACGTAATAAGTAGACGACATGTTTAACATATTCAATTTATACCGGTGAGGTTTGAAAAAATAAACCATTTCATGGGTTTAAAATTATAGTACGCTAATATTTGAAATAAATCAGTCATAAATGTAATTAAAAAAAAATTAGGTAAA